CAATCCCTGGTAACCAAAAAACAAAACCAAACCCCAAAAGCAAAACCTATTATATCTGGGCACAGCTGAATACCAGTGGCTCTGGAGGCTGAGGCAGGAGGAGGCCACAAGTTTGAGGCCAGCCTCAGCCATTTAGTGAGATCTGCTGCAAAATAAAAAATGAAAAGGGACGTAGCTCAATGGCAGAGTGCCTGGGTTCAATCTCCAGCACGCGCACGCGCGCACACACACACACACACACACACACACACACACACACACACAAAGTTACCTGTGGAGTAAATTCAGCAGAAAAGAACAAGGTCAGTGTGCTGGACTGGGGTTTCCTGCCTGACCCCAGAGGCTAGCTCACGGCCACCCCTGTGGTCCACCAGGACAGGGACAGCCTCTTCCCTTGGAGATGGCGAGCTGCACTTCTGCCAGCCTTGGGCCTCTCTGGTCATGCCTGTCACCGGCCAGCTGGAGCCGGGGGACTGCTTTGAATATTGGTGTTCTGACACCTCAGGTCACCTGGCAGTCAGTGTCCAGCATGTCTAACAGACTCAGGAAAAGATCCCGGGTCCACAGTGAAGTCCAGATTAAACCAGTGAGGAGCGGGCAGTGGGCCTCTGGCTGTCTGAAGGCTGCTTCCGGGCGCCCATCAGGAGGGGCTGTGGGGAAGGAAGCCCTCAGGCCACTTTTGTGTGAGGCTTAGACTCGTTGAGACCCACCTGACCAAGCTGCCCGCGTCGGAAACCTTCCTCATCCAATGGAGGCCTTACAGGGGGTCTTCTGTATGGAGGGAGGGCTATTGCCTTCCGCCAGCTGCCGCCAATAATCAAGTGCAGTGAGACCCGTGGAGGGAAGACCAAGGGATGCGGACCAGCCAGGAGTTGCTTCTGAGAGAGTAATCAGAGTCATGCAGAGAGCAGACCGCAACGAAGTGGGGATTAATTAAAAGTCCACAGACAACAGGTTAAATAAACTACAGTATATCCACACAATGAGAGAGGGTCATAATAAAGTCATGGAAAACCAATTAATGACACATGAAAATGATCAGGATATATGAACACATGGAAACTAAAGTTATGAAAGAGTGTGTTTGGCATGACCCAATTATGTGAAAACAAAATAAAGCAAAACAAAAACTGTGTCTCTCTACCCTCATCTGTTCCTCTGTCTGGGAAGGGTATACCAGCAAATGTTCCCACAATAATTTTGGCCGCAGACAGTACAGCAATCTTTTCTTCCTTAAGCTTGCCTTCATGAATATTCCCAAAGTTACAGAAACAAAAACAAATATATAATTGGATTCAATATTACTGATATTTGAAAGAGAGGATCTCAGGGTGTATTAATCAACCTAACTCCTAAATTATCTAACCTCTTTTTAGATCAACACACCACAATATCTTTGAAATATGACATTTTAATCCCTGCAGAAATGCTGCAGCATAGGTGTGATTAAAAATTGAACATTTGCTGGGTGCGGTGGTGCACGCCTGTAATCCCAGCTGCTCAGGAGGCTGAGGCAGGAGGATCTTGAATTCAAAGTCAGCCTCACCAACTAGAGGCACTAAATAACTCAGTGAGACCCTGTCTCTAAATAAAATACAAAATAGGGCTGGGGATGTGGCTCGGTGGTCAAATGCCCCTGAGTTCAATCCCTGGTACCAACAAAATAAATACAAATAAAAATTTAAAAAGTTGAACACTTGACTGACTTTGATATGAAGAACATTTTCTTTTTTTTAAAGAGAGAATTTTTTAATATTCATTTAGTTTTCGGTGGACACAACATCTTTATTTTATTTTTTATATGGTGCTGAGGATCGAACCCAGCACCCCGCGCATGCCAGGTGAGTGCGCTACCGCTTGAGCCACATCCCTGCCCTGAAGAACATTTTCTTAATGATTTGCAGAACTATATTTCAAGACTTGGGTCCTATTCCTTTTGTAAAGAGCTGCTCCACAGCTTTATAAGAGAATTGGTGCCAAGGAAGGGTTTATGTTTTGGTAAGTTTTTATCCTACAGCACGAATTTTAGAACACATCTTGTGTTGCCTGCCTGAAAGATCAGAAGTGAGTTTACTCATGGATCATTGTGAAGACGTGGCCACAGATCCCCTAGGGTTAGGATCTCGCCTCATAACTGATTGTGTTGCTCAGTCTCAGTTTTTAAAACTCTTCTCTCTTAGGTGTTTCATAGGCAACTCATCTCAAACGATATTTTCAAAACTGACATGTGAAGCACAGAGGTTCCCAGGTGTTCTCAGAAATGGGAATCAGCACTCTTTGTGTCCGGACACGCGGGTGTGAGCTAGTTTTAAAACAGTTCTCCCTATTTGTTCAGCCTTCCTCTGGGAATTCCGAGGGCTTCTGAAGTGAATTTTCACTGTCACTTCATGACAGTAGAAACTACTGATCAAAACAATGGCTTTTCAGACAGTGGGCTGTTTGGGAGAGTTTACATCAATGGAATGCGCTTTCCTATCAGAAGGAATGTTAGGAAAACGTTTGAAGTTTCCACATCTAGCCAAGTCCCATCCCTGCTCACCTCTTGCAGACCTCCCTTTAGGAGCTGGGATTTGGTCCTCTGCTAATGACTACAAGCTTGAAACGTCCTTGACCTTTTCTATCCCTGGGGGTGACTGCGGGGTTGGGCTTGAGGTCACTGGCTGGAAAATCACAGTGTCGTGATGTTGGGGGAGGAGAAATGAACTTGCACTAGAGACAGGGCGGGACTTCCCGGCCATGAGGGAGTCAGTCCTGCTTCACACAGAGGCTGCCTGCCCTGCGGCGCCAGGGGGGAGAATCATGGAGAACCAGCTGTGCCCCGAGTCAGTGTCCAGACGCGGCATCAGCACCCGTTGGGCTGTCCTGGGAAGTGTCGAGTGTCGAGTTTGTATCCATCGGTTTATTTAAATCGAGGACCTAAAGTCACCATGAAGCACAGAGAACTCCTCTGGAGATACGGAGTCCCCGCCTGCACACAGGAGGTCCACAGCAGCCCTCTTTCTCCTGCCCTGCGGGTGGCGCAGCCTGGACCTCAGGAGCTGGTATGGTCGTGTTCAACAGGACAAAAATGTGTGCATTTTACTGGGATTTTCAAAAGGAAATGGGTTTAATGGGAGTTTCACCATAGAAGGATGCACATGTTGAGTTCCACTCCCAAGAGTGAAGGCGCCTTTCGAGACCTGCCCCAGGAGTGTGAGTGAGTCTTGCGAAGCTTTAAAACCAAGCAGGCTATCTTCTCCAGCTGCCATCTACTTCACAGAGGGAAAAAATCCTTCTCCTCACCCACTGCTAGGATCACGGCTGAGCAGCCCCCATGACAAAAGACAGATCAACAAGAGAAAAACATACTAATTTACTTCGATTTTTTGTGACACAGGAGCCTTGGCAAACGACCCAGATGAAGAGAGAAACCTGGGTGTTTCTGCTCAGTTTGGTGAGGAAGCACGCTGTTGTGTGGCAGGCAGGAAGAGGGACAAAGGAGGGTTGAGCTAATGGGAGTCAGTGGGGAGGGGGACTAGCAAGTACTGTTAGGTCACAGCCCCGTGTCCCTGTGTCTTCAGAGGTGAGGGAACTCTGTTCCTCCAGGTGGAGGGAAGGCATTTCTGCAAAGAGCATCGATGACCTGCTCCTGCGAAGGACGGAGGAAGTGAGAGTGGCCTTCCTGCCTCTGCCGCCGGTGCTGCGTTTTGGGGTAGCAGGTCCTGAACCCCATCAATTTGCTGATCTCTACAAAATAGACTACTTTTATCTTCATTGAAAATCCATGGGGATGCTTGCTCCCTTTCCAGATGTTCTCAGGAGGTGTCCCGGTGTCACCTGGTGCCTCCGGAGGACTGACAACTGCCCAGGGTTCCACTTGTGCGGGATAAATCCAACCCGTAACGTGGCTCAGCAGCTACCCGGGAGCTTGGGCAGCAGCTACAAGAGTTAGATATTTACAGGGACCAGGACTTGTGGAAGGAACTTCATTCCATGTCACTGTTACTTAGTTCCTTCTAAAACCTGGTCGGGGGTAGCACAGGAAAGTTTGATACAGCTCTGAGAAGGTCTACTCTCCAAGATGGTGTTGATTCCAAGAAGAGGTCATTGAAATGGTTGTCTCAAGTTCCTGTCTACTCCTCTCACTCCGTCCTTAAGTGCAAGGGGTTAGCTTTCAGCAGAACCACGGGCAGTCATGCTACTTACATTCTCAAATAATCACCGGACCATAAGGATAATATTTAGGTAAAAATAATCAGAACTAATAAAATCTGATAACATGATGGATACAAAACTCATTATTATGAAAAAGTCACTAGGTTCCAGTGATAACTATTTCAATATTTAAAAGGAGAAAGAATTCTCTCACATTACCAAAATGAATTAGTTTGGAATTCTTAAGAAGTAATCAGGGCTGGGGTTGTGGCTCAGTGCAGAGCACTTGCCTGGTATGTGTGAAGCATTGGGTTCGATTCTCAGCACCACATATCAATAAATAAAATAAAGGTGCATTGACAACTAAAATATTTTAAAAGAAGAAGAAGTAATCAGAGGGATTGGTGGTATAGCTCAGTTGGTAGAGTGCTTGCCTTACATGCACAACGCCCTGGGTTCAATCCCCAGCACCACCAAAAAAAGAAGTAATCAGAATCTTTTTTTTTTTTGTGGAAAAGCAAGCTTTATTTCAAAGTAACCCAAGAAGAGAAGAGAGGTCAGGGGGAACACATTTACAAACTGGATGGGAGCACACAGATACTGTATCCATTTGGCAAAGGCTCAGTCAGAAGTCTCAGCAATTCTTGCTGATCCTCCAACACCTACTCAGTTTCCTCTTCAGGCTGAAACTAAAGAGTAGTCTTGAAGATGCCCATGATGTCTTTGTTATCCAAACACACTCCCATTTCAGGAAAAAGGACACCTGGGGGCTACCTTCTGGGGGATCTGATTAATTATTAAAAACTAGTAGCTTCCTTCACATTTTCACATTTTAAAAAGAATCAGAGGTTTCATGTTTTAAGCAGTTGAGTTGGTAAAGATCCTGTCTCCATTTTATAGGAGATGGATTACATTCAATTACTCCTTACAACTGAAAGATCATTCCATTGCTTTTGAAGTACTTGATGGGCTGGCATCTGCGATGGTAGCTAAATAAATGAGATTTCTATGTAACACATGCTGGTACTGGACACACTCATTTGCTCGACCCTTGTTCTGATACTCCACGATACAGCGGATCAGCTGGTCATTCTCCTCCAGGAGCTGCTGGATAGTCTCTTGATTGACTTCCACCTTGCCCCTCATCCAGTCAGGTACAAAGGCCACCGACATCGCTGGGGGCCCGGGTCAGCACCCCATCTCGGAAAAAGACCTAATCAGAATCTTAATGATGAAAAAGTACAATAGTTTATGAAAAGCTTTAAGAAAAACTCTCTAATATTTCTGAAGGGAAACATAATAAAATAACTATGCAAAATTCCTCCAAACATATTTAAGAATTTAAAATAGTACTAATTTAAGTTCTAGAACAATTTTTAAAACTATAAAACAATATTTAAAATTTGGTGCCTGCCTGTAATCCCAGCAGTTCTGATCACAAGTTCAAAGCCTTCCTCAGCAACTTACCAAGGCCCCAAGCAACTTACCAAGGCCCCAAGCAACTTAGACCCTGTCTTAAAATAAAAAAAATAAAATAAAATAAAAAAGGCTAGGGATGTTGCTCAGTGGTTAAGTGCCTCTGAGTTCAATCCCTCATACAAAAATAAAAATAAAAAATAAAATGCATTTGAAAAATAAACATGAGGGTAGCAAATCCTTTCCTTTTATCTATAGAGGAAAATGAAAAAGTTTTAAATGGATCAAAAAAGATTTTGGGGCCTTTTCAATGTAAAACAAGTCACTATGTCAAAGATCTGACTTTATGGCCTCTCTGCTTTTCAGTGTCCTTGAAAACCTTACAACTCTTGTAAATCGTGGATCACTGACAATGTATAAGTAAACTGTGTTATGGGCCAGGCTATATGGCAAGGACCAAACAGACTCCATTGTACCCTGAGACTCCATGTCATATACCAAATGCTTCTCCCAGGGAAAGCCCCACCTCTGTACCTATCAATAGTTGCTTAGCACAGCATGTTTGGCAACACAAAATGGCAATTCCTATACAATGTCAGAGATTGATTGTGTAGACACTAGTAACCATTCTTTAACTTGTACTCAACCAGGGTCATTTTGACCCACTTCCCCTCTGCTTATCATTATGGAAAGTCTCATGGGAAATGCCAGTGTACCCATTGCATTGGTTTTTTAAATTAATTTTTAATTTGTTTTAATTAGTTATACATGACAGTGGAATGCATTTATGTACTTTGATAGATCATACATAGATGGGATATAATTTCTCATTTTTCTGAGTGTACATGTTGCAGAATCATACTGGTCATGTAGTCACATATATACACACAGTAATAATGTCTGTTTCATTCTACTATCTTTCCTATCCCCACATCCCTTCCCATCACTTCCCTCTACCTAATCAAAGGTAACACTATTCTTCTCTAGTCTCCCCGCCCACAGCCTTATTGTGAATTAGCATCTGCATATTAGAGAAAACAGTTGGCCTTTGGTTTTGTGGGATTGGCTTATTTCGCTTAGCATGATATTGTCTAACTCCATCCATTTACTGGTGAATGCCAAAATTTTACCCTTCTTTAAAGCTGAGTAATATTCCATTGAGTATATATACCACATTTTCTTTATCCATTCATCTATTGAGGATACATAGGTTGGTTCCATAGTTTAGCTATTGTGAATTGAGCTGCTATAAATATTGATTTTAAGTCCTTTGGGTATAAACCGAAGAGAGGTATAGCTGGATCAAATGGTGGTTCCATTCCCAGTTTTCTGAGGAATCTCCACACATATTGGTTACACCAATCTGCAGTCCCACCAGCAACGTATGAGTGTGCCTTTGTCCCCACATCCTCTCCAACACTTATTGTTGCCTGTATTCTTTTTTTTTTTAAAGAGAGAGTGAGAGAGGAGAGAGAGAGAGAGAGAGAGAGAGAGAGAGAGAGAGAGAGAGAGAGAATTTTTTTTAATATTTATTTTTTAGTTCTCGGCGGACACAACATCTTTGTTGGTATGTGGTGCTGAGGATCGAACCCGGGCCGCACGCATGTCAGGCGAGCGCGCTACCGCTTGAGCCACATCCCCAGCCCTTGCCTGTATTCTTGATGATTGCCATTCTGACAGGAGTGAGATGAAATCTTAGTTTTGATTTGATTTCTCTAATTGCTAGAGGTGTTGAACACTTTTTCATATAATTGTTGATTGATTGTATTTCTTCTGTGAAGTATCTGTTCAGTTCCTTAGCCCATTTATAGATTGGGTTATTTGTTTGTTTGTTTGTTTTTGGTGTTGAGGTTTTTAAGTTTTTTATGTATCCTAGAGATTAATGCTTTATCAGAGGTGCATGTGGTAAAGATTTTCTCCCAATCTGTAGGCTCTCACCTCACATTATTGATTGTTTCCTTTGCTGAGAAGAAGCTTTTTAATTTGAATCCATCCCATTTTTTTGATTCTTGATTTTACTTGCTCTTTAGGAGTCTTGTTAAGGAAGTCAGATCCTAGGTTGATATGGCAAAGATTTGGGCCTATTTTTTCTTCTGTTAGGCGCAGGGTCTCTGTTCTAGTGCCTAAGCCTTTGATCCACTTTGAGTTGATTTTTGTGCAGGGTGAGAGAGAGAGGTTTAATTTCGTTTTGCTACATATGGATTTCCAGTTTTGCCAGCACCATTTGTTGAATAGGCTATCTGTTCTCCAGTGAATGTTTTTGGCTCTTTTGTCTAGTATGAGGTAACCGTATTTATGTAGGTTTGTCTCTGTGTCCTCTGTTCTGTACCATTGGTCTACAAGGCTATTTTGGTGCCAATCCCATGCTGTTTTTGTTACTATTGCTCTGTAGTACAGTTGAAGGTCTGGTATTGTGATGCCTCCTGCTTCACTCTTCTTGCTTAAGATTGCTTTAGCTATCCTGGGTCTCTTATATTTCCAAATAAATCTAATGATTGCTTTTTCTATTTCTATTTCTATAAAGAATGTCATTGGGGTTTTCACAGGAATTGCATTAAATCTGTATAATGCTTTTGGTTTTATGGCCATTTTGACAATATTAATTCTGCTTTATCCAGGAGCATGAGATATCTTTCCATCTACTGAGGTTTCTTCTATTTCTTTCTTTAGTGTTCTGTAGTTTTCATTGTAGAGGTCTTTCACCTCTTTTGTTAGATTGATTCCCAGGGTTTTTTAAATTTGTTTGTTTGTTTTGAGACTATTGTGAATGGGGTAATTTTCCTAATTTCTTTTTCAGTGGATTTATTGCTGATATATAGGAATGCATTTGACTTATGGTTGTTGATTTTATATCCAGCTAGTTTGCTAAATTCATTTATTAGTTCTAGAAGTTTTCCGGTGGAATTTTTGGATCTTCTAGATATAGAATGATGTCATCAGCAAATTGTTCTGGCTAGAATTCCAAGGACTATGTTGGCTAAAGTGGTGAAAGAGGACCTCCCTGTCTTGTTCCAGTTTTTAGAGGGAATGCTTTCAATTTTTCTCCATTTAGAATGATGCTGGCCTTGGGTTTGACATATATAGCTTTTACAAGGCTAAGGTATGGGGCTGGGGATGTGGCTCAAGCGGTAGCGCGCTCGCTTAGCATGCGTGCGGCCCGGGTTCGATCCTCAGCACCACATACCAACAAAGATGTTGTGTCCGCCGAGAACAAGGCTAAGGTATGTTCCTACTCTCCCTAGTTTTTCTAGTGTTTCTAATACAGAGGTCTGCGGTATTTTGTCAAATGCATTGTTTTGCTAACGGCTCAGTTCAGCTTCTGTACCCTTGCTTGCTTGCTGCTATGCCAACTGGGGTATGGTTTTTGTGAGTTTTGCCTTTAACGATCCTAAAACACTCAGGCTCAGGGATATTCCTTACAGAGACAGTTATGGGTCCTGCAAAGAGTAGTCACAGGCTGGCTGGCTACATAAAGACTCTCCAATTTGGACAAAATGGACTTGGTATATTTTCAGAGCCACCTGTCCCTAGTAGAAGGATGAGCATCTCTCTGCCCTGCCTATGGGACAAGTCAGCCTTGTACCTATCTGTAAATTCACTCCAGAATTCTTTCTCTTTTCATATTCACAAACATGAAGTCTCTGAATTGCCTTTCAAGTCTGTTGTAATACCTACGGATTCCCTCAATTAGAGTCATACAAAACCTTGGTTATCTATATGAGATATAAACATCCTTTCACTTTATTAAAGTCATGATTTTACTGTTGAAAAGAATTATGTTTTAAAATGATAAAAGTAAGTTGGAGAAACTTACCCTCCTAGATAAAAAGTATTATGAACTGATTAGATATAAAACCTAGTGGAATGAATGCATACAGTGATTGAAAGATCAATGCAATGATTAAAATCCAAGCTGTACGGGGCTGGGGATGTGGCTCAAGCGGTAGCGCGCTCGCTTAGCATGCGTGCGGCCCGGGGTTCGATCCTCAGCACCACATACCAACAAAGATGATGTGTCCGCCGAGAACTAAAAAATAAATATTAAAAATTCTCTCTCTCTCTCTCTTCTCTCACTCTCTCTTAAAAAAAAAATCCAAGCTGTACCCAAATTAGTTACAATAAATTGGTAACAAAATAATTCTTTTTTTTTAAATCTGAGTATCACTGGTAAATATATTCATGTGTGTTTATGTGTGTGTGTGTGTGTGTGTGTGTGTGTGTGTGTGTGTAAAAAAATGTGCCAAAGAGGAGCCCAGGAAAAAATAGCTTCACTGGCAAATTCTATGAAGTATTAAAGAGGAATTAATAAAATTCCTTTACAAATTCAACTGGAAAAAAATGGAAAAGGAGGGAATATTTCCTAATTCATTCATTGAGGCTAGAAATGCCCTCACACCAAAACCAAAGACATGAAAAAAAAAAAAAACTAGAAGCCAGACCAATATTCCCTATGAATATAGATTCAAAATGCTTCAATAAAATACTATCAAACAGTATCCAGCAACACATGAAGAAGACTAGATATCAGTCCCAGGAACGCAACATTGGTTGGACACAGGAAAATTACTGTCCAACCACCATATTAAAAGAATTAAGTGGAGAAAACTATATGATCATTTCAATATAAATTTCAAAAAGCATTTGAGAAGATCCCCCCATACTCCTGAGATTTAAAAAATAAAATAAACAGTCACCTGGGCACAGTGACACTTGCCTATAATCCCAGTGATTCAGGAGGCTGAGCCAGGAGGAGCACCAGTTTGGGGACAGACTCAACAACTTAG